CAGGGGAAAGAACTGGTCCTCTGAACTCCGAAGCACGGAGGAGGGACTCCATGAGCCTGAGACCCAGCCCTCTGGGGATGGTGTGCCTGTGGCTGGTGTCAGTACCACTGAGGGGAGGCCTATGGGGTTGATTCCAGGAGCTCAAAAAAATACAGATCAGAAACTGGGAGCAGCTGCTGCCCTGGAACTTATTACCACTGTTAGGGTAAGAACTGTGCAGTGGGCATACAGGCAGGGGCAGGCAGCTGCCTGGAAGGCACAGGCCCCTCCAGCCCACAGCTTCCCTCTCCTGCTACTGGCAGAGCCTGTCTTGGGCTGCTGGCAAAGCAGAAACATGGCTTGCAAGAGCCCCAACCCAGTGTCAAGGAGCAGGCCAGGGATGGGAGCCTGGAAACTGGGGCTCAGTAGCTTGACAACCAGTCCAGTCCAGGTGTCTTCCCTTCAAAAACTCTAGAATCCCATTAAGTGCCAGGCCCTGGGGGTACACCAGCAAGTAAGACACATTCCCTTCCCTTGTAGAAACTGCTCTTTAGAGGTGGAGTTGGGGAAGAGCATCTAGACCATAAACAAGCAGAATTCTATAGGTAGAGAATCTCAGAACATAAATATACTCTGAAGCAAATAGTGACCAGTCTGTGTTTTCTAATCAGTGGATTAGAGGCCCCTCAGAGCTCACTGAACAGATCATAATAAACAACCACTAAGAGGAAAAGGGCCAATTCCCAGGGGTCATGATCATTATAAAAATAATAACCATGATTTGTCAATGTGTCACCAGATGCTGTGCTGGGTGTTAATTTGGATTATCTGGGTCTTGTAAGAAATTCCTGAGGTCTGTTTTATTACTTGTTATACCCATCTTACAGATGAAATGAAGGCACAGTCTGATTTGGCAATTCACCTCAAGAGAGGAGGTCAAATTAATGGGACTGGTGACTGATTGGAGGAAGGTCTGGAGGGTTGGAGGAGGTCAAAAGCCACCAGTAGTTCTGGAAACAAACAGGGAAGGTATGAAGAGGATCAAGCATAGAGAGATGGATGGTTATAGATTTGGTATGTCCTGGGGAGAGAAATGCCCAGCTGTTAGATGGAAATGTGAGTGAAGAACTCAGGAGAGAGGGCAGGAGCTAGAATTCTCAGAAATAAGTGATTTTTGTTGCTGCTCAGGAAAATAAATGAGTGTGGCATCCCACTAGGCCAAAAATATTAGCATTTAAATGCAGGCTTACACAAGTTGGTAAAAAAGGCAGTTTCCTAAGAATTAAATCAGATTTCATTTTTCCTCTAAGTGTCAGAAAAAATCCATTCTGCTCAAGTGTGGACCTCAGAAAGGGATTTGCCATGCTGTAGGTCACTCCCATCCTGGCTCTCAGTGGAACTCTGCCTCCTCTCCCTGCTGTAATTATGGGAAAATGATGCCTACAAGCTGACAGCAATGCATGGGCACTGTGGGCTAGATGTCCACAGGCCCCTTTGTGTTGAGGGCAGGCGCCCTGGGCTGGTCTCCATGCCCTTTGCACTCAACCACGTCAGCAGGTCTACAGGGCCCAGCTGTGTGCTACAGGAACCATGGGTTAGCTTCAGAGCTGGCCAGAAATGGCTGTGTGCAACTGCAGGTGCTTCTGGGAGAAAGGTGTGAAGAGACCCAGGTGGTCCTTGAAGCTGCCCCTTCTCCCGGTGCCCCAAATGCTACCCCATTACTCCCACTGATGCCGCCTGCCCAGTGCTGCCCTCTCCTGCCCCCACCACACACTGTGCTCAGAACTGGGCTCAGTCCTGGAATACCACAAGGACCCCTTTATTGTGTAATCATGGAAAGAGAAGAACCAGTTTAGACTGGATACCAGAGGCCACAGGTGTGGGCTCCGACGGCTCCAGGTTGACCAACAGAGAGCCCTGTAAGACGATTAATTTCTGCCTCATGCTGCTTCCACCCTCTGCCTCCCAGTCACTGAAAGCAGGATGCAGAGTGCAGAATTGGGGCTGTGTGTGTGTGTGGCGGGGGTCCCAATTCCTAGATACTACTGACTCTGGATGCTTCTTCTCTGTGGCTTGATCTTCACCTCGCCTTCTTCCTGCGTTTGTGTCTCTGTTTTCCCTTGTCAGAGCAGCAGTCATTGGAATAGGTCCCTCCCTCATCCAGCAGGACCACAGCTTAATTTATCTAATACCATCTGCAAAGACCCAAATATAGTCACATACTGAAGTTCCAGGCAGACAGGAGTTTGGGGTGGGGGGAACAGTTCATTCAAGTTTCCTCTCCATCCAAGGCGTCACCAGCTCCTGTCGCTTCTTAATATCTTCCTTAATATCTCGCAGATGGACTCATTTCTCACAGTAAATCAGCTTTGCCACTCCCACATTTACATTTCACCAGTGCCTTCCCAGTGCCCTCAAAATAATGCCCATGCTTCCAGGCAGGGCGTTGGTTCTTCGTGACCTGGCCATTGTTGATCTCTCCAAGCTCATCTCACATGGGATACATAATTGTATTGATTCATAGGTAAGTGGATTTCTTTGTGTGTCTATCTATTTTATGTCATCCTCTCTTACTGGATATAAATTACCCCAGAGAACAGGGAAAGCCTCTCTTTGTCCACTCTTCATTCTCAGGCCAGACACACACAAAACTGTGAATGAACTCTACTCTCCCCCAGATCCCAGCACGGTGCTGGGCTGTTGAGAACTTTGATGATGGGACAAAAGGCCTCTGATGCTGGAGCGATGCTGAAACTGGAAGGAAGGCAGACCAAGGAAGCTGAGTGACTGAGCAGCGCCCGAGGGACAGGAGCAGGGGGAACTCCCGATAGCTCCAGCCCCAGGCCTGATGGGGTGTCCCTAGGCCTGAGTCCCTTGGCAGAGGGAGACCATAGCTCTGGAGTCCATGGACACATCCCCTCAGTGCCTGAGAGGCTAGGGAGGGGAGCAGGGGCAGATTTCTGCCACCTCCAGCCCACGATCCTGTCCTTCTCCGCTCCCCATCCCTCCACCACCCTCCCTGCCAGGCCCTTCGGCCTCTCCCACCTCACTTCCTTGGCTCCCCTCCAGCCTCACTGGCCCCCAGGCTGTTCCTTAAACAGGCCAAGTGTGTCGTAGGCTGACATACGCATTTGCTTTCCCTCGATGCGGAGCACTTTGTCCTCACACCAGCTCATTCTCATGTTGTTCAGGTCTTTGCTTCGCTGTCACCCTCTGCAGAGAGGTCTCGCCAACAGCGCCATCGGGATAACACTCCTGGTCCTGTCTAGACCCTTACCTGTCTTTGTCCTTCTTCAGAGGACTTACCATTCCAGGCTCTCTGCTATGCATTTATTTGCCTGGGGGCTGCTTTCCCCTGGACTGCAAGATCCCAGACGGGAGGGACATGGTCTGTTTTCTTCTGCTTTATCCCCAGTGCCTAGGATAGCACCTGGCCCTGAGGAGTCACTCAGTAAGCATAAGTCCAATGAAAGAAAGCCCACCCTCTCACTGGTGGGGAGTCAGACCCCCTTGCTCCCCCAAATCCCTCCTGGGGTTCCCAATATTCCAGTAACCAAGCTCTTTCAAACAAATTCAATGAACTTGCTTGAAATTTTGATCTGTTCAGGATCTTGCCTACTTGAAAGCAGCACTGGGTATGGATAATGCAGGTTTTGGAGCCCCTAAGACTTGAATTCTAATTGCCACTATAACCATTTGCTAGGTATGTGCAAATAAACCAGTTATTCTAACTCTAGCCTCTATTTGGTTATCTTTAAGATGGGAATAAGACCTCCTAACTGTAAGAATCTTTATCAGTGTTAAACAGGCAGAGTGACAAACTATCCTGTCTTCTCAGGGCTGAGAAGTTTTTAGAGATGCAGAACTTTCAGTGCAAAAATCAGAACAACCATGGCTTGCTCTACGGGGATAGCTCATAGAGAGCCCCTGCACAGAGCAGCTGTCTCTCTGACAATCTGACAACAGTGATAATGAGAGTGGAGAGCTTGCATTTTTAACCCAAATTCCATACTGCCTTCAGATTTTGGGTCACGTACATTTTACACTCCAAATTCTTTGTGGCACCAAGGTGGGGTGTCAGAAATAGTAAAGGAGTAATTAGTTATGGGTGCCCAGTCCCTTTTGTTTCTGTCATTCTCCATCCCCCATCAGTCAGGGTCATGTCCCCACAGACCCAGTCATGGAGAACTGGGGGGCTGATCCTGATGTTCACAGCCAGGCCAGGCTGACCAGTTTCCTCCACAGTTAAGGTCACACACCCACAAAGGGGAGAAAATGGTCACATGACCAAGGCCAATCCACAGGCATCTCTGGGTGTAAGTCAGAACAATTGTTCTAGAAATCCATCCAGAGACAGTGATGGAGGGAACTTGGAGAGGAAGCATTTGCTGGTTAAATAAGAATCCCTTTAAATATTCATCCTCGTATTGGCAATGACATCAGTGTCTGGAGGGGTGGGCGGAGTCCTGGGTAGCTAATGGACAGACAGGAGACAGTGGGGCATTTGCATCGGGCCCACAGTGGGGTGCTGAGAGGGGCTGCTTCCCATACTCTGGAGCACTGCAGATCTGAGAAAACCACCCCTTGTCACTGTGCCCAGCACCTCAGATGGCAAAGCCAACTCAACTCTTAGAGGAATTCAAGTCCAAGGGCCAAGCTGGAGTGTTCTGGGAAGGACAAGAGGAGGGAATCCAGAGGGGACTCTCAGGCTTTTCTGGTGACTTGTGCCATTTTTTCCCCACTGAGCCTGTAAGCTTGCTCTATGAAGGGGAGTGTCTGTCCCCTCCAGTATACACCCCCTGCCATCCTTGCCCCCAGGTCACCTCTCTGCTGCAGAATGTCAATACCTTCTGCATTTACGTCATCCTCACATTCCTGTGGGCAACAGAAGGGCAGAAAGACCCCTTTCCCTGTTTAAGCCTCAGTTTCTTGTCTTTGTGAAATACCTTCTAGGCTGGGTATATCCTGGTGAAGTTAATGAAATAACACATGAATTTTCATTTCTAACTTGCAAACAGGTACACAAGCATAACGTGGAGTACTGGTTAAGAGGCCATGATGGTTTAACACCCAGTTCCTACAACTCTTACCAATGTGACTTCAGACAAAGGAAACTTCTTAGGTCTCAGTTTCCCCATCTGTAAAGTGAAGGTAATAATAGTACCCATATCATATAATTGGTGCATTCAATGAAAAATGTATGTGAAGACCTGGTACACAATATGTGCTCCAATAAAGGCAGCTATTATTATTTGCAGTTGCTATTGTTATTGTTATAATGTTGACAATAGAGCCAATCAACAGATGAAGAACTGGAGACCCCAGGGTGTTCTGATCCCATATGATTACCTGGAGTCTAGAATTACTTGAGTCTCACTTCCTTGAGTCAGATTTTTTTAAGTGAAATTAGGAGAAGGGATTAAATCACAAATTCAGATGGCCTTGATGGTAGGATAGACCAGGGTGCACAGGAAACCAAGCAGGTCCCTAAAGTGGCCTGCTGCAGGGGAGGCAGGTGCCCAGAGGCCAGGTAATTGGGAACTATCTGTACCGGTCCATACAGCATCCACATAATCGCAGAAATTGGGGGAGAAAGGGGCCCACTACTTGGTGGGGGGACATTCAGGCAAAATGAGTCTTAAAGGATAAGGCATCTCAGTTGACATCTTGGTTTCAAACAAAATAGAAAGGTGAAGATCAGCTTGTGCCTTATATTTTCCAAAGTGCTTTCCCCTATTTTGTACCTTTTAACCTAAGCATTTTGTTTCAATTTTTAGACAAGGAGACTGTATCCCTGAAAGGTCATGCTTCTGATTCAAGGTGACACTGTCCAGGGTCTGCTCCCCACTGCTGCTGGGACCTCTGCTGACTCAGCAGAGCCCAGGCATCTGGTTGCAGTAGTCTGCTAATCGTTAGGATGCTAAGTGGCTCCAAAAATACTATGGGGTGGCTTCCAGGAGGCAAAGCAGAGCCTGGAAATGGGGCTCAGAACCAATCTCTGTCACAGCCCACGAATGCCCACCCCTTCTGGTGTGGGGTTGGGGCAAGTAGCCAGCAGCCAGGAGCCAGCCCAGCCCATCAGGCCCAGCAGAAGAAGCAGTGCTTGTTTGGTGTGGCAAAGAGGATGGTGGGGAGGCTGCCTCCAGAGGGAGGCCTGAGGCAGGCTACATGCTGCCGGACCCCAGGGATCTGTATATGCACAGCTGGGGAAAGTTCAGGTTCAGACGCAAAGACCTCAGAAGGGTTAGGCAGGTGGCTCTGCTGGGGAGTTGCTGCTGTACTTGGCAGCCACAGGGCGGGCCATTTTTGCCTAGGACTCACCCAACCCCATCACCTTCTCCAAGGGGAGAACTCCTGCCGAGGCTGCTCTGTGCCCAGGACCCAGGTGCTTTCTGCACTGCCTCCACTGTCTCAGTAGAGGGTGCCCATCTTCCCACTCTGCTTCTGCAGCCCACCTGGCCAGGGGTGGCCTCCCTTCTGCAGATGTGGGGTGGAGTGCCCGGAAGAGGCAGTCTTCCTCCTTGTGATGGGAAGGTCTCAGCTGAATTTGGAAAATGTTTTTGGGAATTTCAGGCAGCAAAGGCTAGATCTGATTGTAAAATGAGTGCTGTTTCTACTCACAGTTTGTGAGACTCTACAACCCCCACCCTGAACCTAGTGGTCTGTATTCTACCCTCAACCTGCAAGTCCCACGACATACAGTGCCTCAGGGACCCAGGCACAGGGACAGATGGGGGAGGCTCAGCTGTATCCTTGACAATGACGATACCCCCAGCACCCACCAAGGAGGCAGGTGCTCAAACCTGTGGGCTCTGGAGTCAGATGATTCTGTTTCCAGATCTCCTTCTAGGCATGACTGCCAAAAGACCAGGAGCCTTGTCTAGCTTATGTACCACAAAATCCCTGGTGCCTGAAATAGAGCCTGGCACACAGAAAACAGCCAATACTTTATGATAAACCAGTGGCTCCAACCTTTCTGCTCCTTTAACCTTGCACCAGTTCCTTCATCTCTTTCAGTCTCAGTTCTCTCCTCTGTAAAATGGGACAAAACCAGACTTACCTGTCAGTGTGGTGGTGAGGGTTAAATGAGAAAATCCAGGTATAGCACTTGGCACTGTGCTCAATATGCACTAAACCTTCAACAATAGCAGCTATTAGCAGTTCCCATGTGGGGGCATACGTGCATGCCCCCTTTGGCATATGACCTTTGGGACGTGCAGTGTGTATGTTTGTGGGTGTGCATGTGTGTGCACACACACAGGTGTTTGTGCATGTCTAGAGTTACCCTCCCTGGAGGACAATCCTTTATTGTCTTATTTTTACAGTTGAGGAAACGGAGGCACAGAGAAGCACTACACAGTCCAAAGTTGCTTTGCTGGTAGTGTTGGTGAAGCAGAATTTTAAGCCCAAGTAGTCTGACTCTACAGCTTTGCTCTTATGCTTAGAAATTGCTTGCTTAAAGTCCTCCTGGATCCGATGCTCTGCAAATGATGATGAAGTGTGCTGGTGATTTTGTTCAGAAGATGAGGCAAGTCTCCAGCCACCTCTTCTGCATGTGTCACTCACTTCCGAAACCTATGACCACAGACATCCTAGAGGTGATGAGCTGAACTGCCTGAGGATGCAATGACCAGTCACTGACCGTTGGACACCGGGCCCAGCTTTGCATGTTGCTGCCACAGGATAGAGTTTATAACCCAGCCCCAGGGATCTCAGCTGTCAGCAAAACCTCTGAATCTCCCAGGCCACTAGCTAAGTGCAGTTACCAGTGCCCATGCCCAGCTGGCAGATGCTGATTCTGTAGGTCCAGACTAAAACTTTGGGGCCTGAATCTTTGACAAGTACCATGGATAATTCTGTGCAAGTGTTCTTTCTACTTTTGGAAATTTGGAAAGAAAAAGGAAAGATCTACTGAACAGGTATGTAGCTTAGGGTTAGATGTTAACCAGGAGGGAAAGGGAGAGCAGGCCCGGTTTTGGCTTTTCAGAGATGTCAGACTACAGACAAGTTTCCCACCCACTGTGGCTCCCCAGTCCCCGTTGCTTCCCAAGCCCCAGCCCGGTGGCCTGCCCTCCAAGTGAAGTGCTGAGTCAGCCCCAGCAGTCACCTGGATTAGCAGGGAACACTGAGCCCAGTTAAGGCAGGATGGGGGCATCTGAACTCCAAGCGTCCCCTCCTTCTTCTCCCCTTTGTTTCCATTGGAAAAAAGTAAACTGTCAAGTAATTGCTCCCCAACAACCCCTGCTGGTCCTTGATGTTTCTTTCTTGCACAGATTATAATTAGGGAATCAGTAAATTTAAATAGAAAATCCATGAGCAGCACGGAGCCTTTTTAAAATGCTGTTTCATGCACCCTGCAAGTAGCACTTGCCTTGGCTACAGGCAGTGGTGGTGGGGCAAGGACCCCGCTCAGGGGAGGACAGGTGAGGAAAGCCCTTGGTCTCCTCAAAGGTGCATGAGCAGCAGGGAGGCTAAGCTTTTGCTGAGTGCCGGAGGCTGGGCCAGGTGCTCTCTAAGCCTTGTCTTACACCCACCCTTGGAGGGAACACTAATTTTATTCCCATTTTACAGATGAGGAAACTAAGTTTCAGAAAGACAGTGACTTGCCCAAGGTCACATAGCTAGTAAGGGACAGGACAGGGACTTGAAGTCCCCTTAGCCTGGGTTTTCATCTGAAATTTGACTGCTTTCCAATGGAGTGTAGGCTGAAATCCAAGATTTGAGTAAATTCCAGTTGTGTGATCTCCTACCAAAGTCTGGATGCAGCCATAGCCTGACCTGGCCTGTCTTCTCCCTTGTGCTTAAAGGGCTGAAACAAGGCTCCCAGTGGGGCTGAGAGAGGAGAAGTAAATACTGCCTGTCCTGTGGGCTGGGGCTTCTCTGGACTAGCAATGCCACCTCCCTGCCCTGGGTCCTTGGGACAGCTGGTCTGGGTGGGAGGACCCATAGCATCACCCACACACCCATTTAGAGACAAGGGACCAGAGACCTCAGAGAGACAGAGGACTTTGCCCAAGATGCCTCAGCCAGCTGTTGGCTGATGGAGTGGGGCCTTGGGTGCTCTACCCTGTGCCCAGCCGAGCTGCTCCTCCAAGGCTCTGTACCTCCGCAGAGCTGGGCTTGGCTGCAGGCAATGGGCCTGATCAAACAGAAAACCAAAACATTGACGGGTGGAGGAAGCAGAGGATGCCCATGTTTCTTTGGTCACCTACAGTATGTGGTTGCCAATGGGAAAAGGTTTGGAGCCAACTTGTCAGCAGTAACTTTCAGCTTTGCTTTTCTAAGTGTTATTTATAGAAAAAATAAGAATGCTTCGTGGTCCTCATCTGGTAGAGATGATGTGAGGACTAAATGGGATCATGAATATAAAACAGACCCAGCTCCGTGCTCAGTACATGTCAGTTATGAGCAGATACCATTATGGTTTCCTTGTTTAATGGTATGCTAATACTACAACAACTTGTATAATTATTCTGGGAGATAGTAACACTCCATTTTCTAGACAGGAAAACCAGGGCTCCTCAGAGAGATTAGGAAACTTGATGCACCCACACATCTCATAAACAGCAGATCCAGGCTTCCAATGGGCACTACATTATCCTGCTCCTGCCCCATGACCCTGTGACACATCACCTCCAGCTTGGGTTGGCAGTAGGACATGGATACCCAGGGGACAGGGAGGGAGACTTGAGGGACCCGAGACAGATCAACCCCACGTCCCCCAGGACAAGCTTCATGTCTGGGCTACTGTGCTTCTCAAGCCCCTGCACCCCAGAAGGATGCAGACAGCACAAGATGTCCTGTAGGTCAGAAACAAAGGCCTGGGATCTTGCTGCCTAACTCACCCTGGTTCTTAGAGATAGAACCTTCCTTGGTTGCCAGTTACCTGCTGAGGGGGCTTTTTATTTACTAGTAAGGAAGGAAAACTCTCTGTTAAACCCTTTCCCTCTCTTCAAATTTAATTTGTGATTTTTAAAACATTCAAGAACTGTCACACTTTCCCTTTCAACTGTTGGACTCCCCCATCTCTGTCTCTGCGTGTTGCTCTGCCTCCTCTTTCCCTCTGTGCTTCTGCCTCTATTTCTCGGCTTGGGAACACCGAGTAAGCTGATCCCTGAAATGAGGAGGGAGCTCAGACCTCCTTGTTTCCG